CTCGTAGCAGACGACGCGACGTAGCCTGGGCTATTTTTCTTCAGGAATGCTGAATTTTTTTAATCCCTCAATAGTCCCTAAAATTAAAACACCCGGTATAGGACCTACTCTGGGTACCATATCCACCACTCGGATGTTTACATTTTCTTCTGTTCAACTGCGAAACGTCTTCTTTAGCCGCCATGTTTAGTGACATTACAGACAAACCCAAAGATGCAGTGCGCGACCTACTTTTTTATGCAAATGAAGTAGTCGCCACTCTGTGTATTTTTACTCTGTGTTTTTACTCTGTGTTACCTTTAGGCCAGTTGTTGCACGAATGTCGTGTGATCTAGCCTTTACGTTAGTTGGTGCAGGCATTTTGAGTGCTATCTAATCAATTATCTCATCTAATTAATATTCTTTTAAAACGTTTTGTTGCGAAAGTTACATCATATAAATGATGACATCGCCCCCCCCCCCAATTAACTGACCCAGAAGATAAACGATGGGGGAACATCAGATGTTTGTAGTCGCAATAATATACACTGAAAAAAAATTGTTTTATTTTAGACACAAGTTAGGTGTCTCTAACAACACAAACTGTGTTGAAACAACACAAACTGTGTTGAAACAACACAAACTTTTGTTAAATGTTGAAACAACACAAAACCTGTGTTAAAAATTTATCAATTTAACACAGACTTGTGTTGAAACTTATTCGAAAATCTATACATCACTTGCGTTATAAATGATCAAATTTGTGTTGAAATTTATGAAACATGTTAAAATTTACATGAAACTTGTGTTGAAATTTATGAAACTTTTTTTTGTTTCATACAAACTTGTTCATACCCACAAACAAAGATTTGGGTTAAATTTTCCCAATTTATTTCCAGTATAACAACCTTTCTCATGTCCTGTTTAAACTGTAATGTTTGATAAATTATATAACAATAAAATTGTTAAATTTTTATTTATTAATTTACTGATAGGATAAATTAAATTTATACTGCCAAATCATCAATAAATAGAAATTTGGAATGTTAATAAACAAAGTTAATTCCAATATTAATAAAACTGTGTTATATAATGACAATTCGCCTCCCCCTCCCTCCTCCCATCACAAAGAAAGGGATTTAAATTGATTACCCTAAAACAAGCACTGGGCATAAAATAGCTGTGCACCCAATATCCCTACTTCAACCCCCAAAAAGATATAATTTAAATACATATCTTATTTTAATAACAACAAAACCAAGCACTAATAAGATTAATTATGCACTAAACTGAAATATTTTCAAAAACTGTAAAGTGGTACAAACAAAGGGAATATAGAAGACATTTACATCATATCTTCAGTGTTGAAAGACATAAAAGAATCTAAAAACAGAATTGTTCCAAAAAGCCATCACGTAATTTATCTATTTTACCAATTATTTTAATGTTTTATATTTTATCTGTACACTGCTAATTATTTGTTTTACCCAATAGTTTAATTTTAATTTGTTATGATTTTCTATATATATTTTATCTGTACCTGTACCCTCTATTCTGTTGGGTTTTTAATAAATCCTATTATCTTGTTTGACAAAACAGTTTTATTTTATTCGCATATGATTTTCTATCTATATTGTTTTAAATTGTGTACTCATAATCAAATATTACTTTTTTTTTTGTACAAGCGCCAATGAGCAGCTTTACAAGCTGGATTTTGGCGCTATACAAGTTCAATAAAATTATTATTAATTATAAGATGAAACTTTTGTACATGTACATAAAAGGGGCGCGCATTGAATGATAAAAGCATCAAGATTACAGGTTATTATAAATGAAATGAAAAAAAAAATACCAGGGAAAATGGCAAATATTAAACAATATGTACAAAATATTTAAATAAAAGTCATAAGCGGGGGGTGGGGCCACAATGATTCAGTGATTATAAGCCGTTAAAAAGTTAATACGGAACAATTATTTGAAGTGGCATAATGAGTTTCAAAATGATAAGTACATAAAAGAGAACTAATAGATAAGGTACAGGATTGATAAAAAAAAAATAAAGTATTAAAATCAAAGAAAATGGAGAATATCAAAAAATTGTAAAAAGATATTGATGAGTAAGACCATCTCATATAAAAGATTCATTAACACTTGAAATTCTCACTAATATTGTCTAAAAATAAAGGTTGATTTCATCATACAATAATACATACGGCATCTTACTAGCACAAATACTTCACTCCAGGTCAGGTGCTTGGATTTTCAATAATTATCGCCTGTTACTCTTAATTATTGATAATTCCTCTTTAATATTTCAAGTTTTCAGGACAAATTCTTAGTCTTTAGGATTACACTGCAGTCTATAAAAAAATATTTAGAGCGGGTGTTGTATGTGACAGCAAAAACCAAAAAGCGACTAAAAAAGGCAAGGGTGATTAATAACTGTTGGGTTTCCACATTAAGATCTATAAAATAATTTGATGGCTTTATATTGAGAATGTAGTGGTGTTTTTTTTCTTTGGTATCAATATTTACTAAATAAATGTACTTCTCCAAGGATGTTCAAGTTTTTGAAAAATATAATAGTGATGATTTGGTTTTTACTTGGCAAACCAGTCATTGTTACAGAGGAAATATTTAGATGGCAGAATAAAAGTAAAATAACTTACTTAGTCTAGGGAAGGAAATGAAAAGAGCATAATTTAACAAAATATATTATTTTGAGATTGACATGTATGGCTACCTGTGAATGAAGGTGAAAGTATTTTATGGAAAACTAAATAAAAAACGTTACAGCACATATTATATTAAAGCACTTCGTTAATTTTGAGGAATTAAAGCACATATATTAACGCGCATTCGTTAATTTTGAGAGATGAGAGAGAGAGAGACAGAGAGACAGAGAGAGAGAGAGAGGGGATGCATTTTTATTTATATCTTTGTTATTTTTTTTAACTTCTTTTGAAACTCTTATATTCTATTTTATATATTGATATGCTTTTTAACGTGTAATATTTTAAGAATATTAGCGTCAACTGTTTCTTTGTAAAGATTTTTGTTTCGTGTTAGTAGCCGTGGATACTATTATAACGTTAACAGTATATTTTATTGTACCTGAAATCATTAACAAAGGACTCATCAATAATCTTGTTTTTAATAGAATTACCTGTTAACAAAGAACACTTTAAATAACACCGAAACTCATTAATGATGCATAAGAATTGGATAATTAAAGAGCTAGTATATAATAGTTCTAAAATAGATATTGAAAAATTATATATATTGAAAATTTTAGTCGAATTGCTTTATACTGTGCGAAGTTGTAAGTATTTGAAGTTTTGTCAAAATCTAGCGAAGATTGTTTATTATCGTAGCAACGATATTTTATCGCAAAACCTTTAAATGTAAAATGGCCGCGATGTTCCAATATACTTGAAATCGGGGCCATTGGACGGCTCGGAGAGTTGATTATGGGCGTGGCATGTTAATAAATGACTAAATAATAATTTATATTCCAAATAAGTGAGAAAAAAGACCTGCATTAGGAAGATTTGGCTCTTACACCCTACGGGTAGTGCATCATTAAGGAGGTCTAGTCACTTGTTACGAACTATGCAGTAATTTCAGATTCTTGGTAAAATGATTCAGTAACGACATACATGATTTAATCAACAGGAAGTAGAGAAACATATTTATGTTTTATTTATAATTGTACAATTAGTGATCAATTTACCAACATTTAAACTACTAAGTGTTACCTTTTTTTAAAAAAAATAAAGCAGATAAAAAAAAACAGAGTATTATATAATAAAGCCAGTGATTGTTTCCCATAATAATGTGTTCTGCTATTAGGTAAATAACATCAAGACGGTATGTGGTAGATTACAAAATGCCCTATACAGTAGATAAGGGCGTCTTCTCATCCTCATGGGTTTACTCCAGTTTCCACACACAGAAAATACCCCTGCGTGCTAAGGTAATAAACATGAAAATATGACAACTTTTCTGCGATATCACAGTTGGTGGAAGCGGATGTCACAAGAACAACAAATAGGTGGTTAGTATCCTGAAATGACAGGGGCTACTACTGACATGTCCGATGAATTCAGCAAAAATGAATACCGATCTTTTTGTTTTACATTAAAATAACTAAATGTCTTTTTCATTTGAAATGGCTATGGATTTTTTCCAGTTGGTGGGCCTTTTGTTCTTTTGTCATTGCTATTTTTATTGACGACAGTTATTTGACCGATATCCTTAAGAAAGTGTTGATAAAAAAAACAATGGAATCTTTTATTACAATACAAAGACAGAAAAATAAAATTGTATTGCAAATCGACAATATTTTATTTTGTCAAGTTCATTTAGACAGACATTCAGCCGTGGAAGTTGTGGGCTAGAAAATTGTACATTTACATGTACAATAATAATAATAATAATAATAATAATCTGACTTGTTCTGTTGATGAGACGCAAAATGAGGATTACAGTTTTCATCGTCTCTGTGGAACTTGCTTATGTGTTTTCTGTGATTTTAAAAGTGCCAGAATATTCGCCGTATATACACTTTACTGATGTCGGTACCAAAACGAATTGGATATTTTTTGTCAAGGCTTGCAGGGACGGAAAGATCGGACTATTTAACAACACAGATGCCAACAGCGCGATTTATAACATTGTTTTTGGTGCGGGAATTAACACGTACACTGTTGTGCGCAGGGATGGGAACAATATGGGCTTCAAGTATGGAACACATTTGGATTGTGGAACATTTAAGTCATTTTGGATTAATTGGGCGGACAAATCTATTTCTGTCGGAAGTGGAACGCTTGTAGGTGAAAATATATTGATATCAAAAGCTGACCCAGAACAGGGTCCCATACATTATCTGGCTTTATCAACCCATAAAGACAATGTTGGATACTGGATGTTACAGTCGTCCTGTGCGAAATAAATAACATTCCTTTACGGGATACAAGATTCACAGAAATAATTTAAATGAACGTTTAAAACTTCAAAAAATGGTTAAGACAATATTTTATTCAATATAATTACAAATGTACATATAATTGTGACACTATCCTGTGTCGCGGTACCAAATAAAACGGCCTGTGGCACTACGGGGTAGGGATGTGTGACACTTTCTTCTAGACCTTTCTTCGACTTCACGTTGTGGGATCAATTATCTCAATCATCAATTAACTGAACCTGGAACACCGTTTATGTTGTTATTAAGTTTATATAACAAATACAGCAAACTACAAAGGTTAAATACTGAAAAACTACAACATCTATTAGAGATACTTTAGGAGTTATAAAAATATCCACGGTCTGAGTTTACTATCCTTTCTAACTTAGACCTAACGGCTTAAGGTGGCAAGAGCCACATATTTCTTGATAGTTCTACATAACGTTTGCGCTAGGATGATGTCTTCGCCCTAGCCTCTAAGTCGAGGAGGCTATAGGTATGCTGATCCCCTGGGCTCCGAATGACTGTCTGAAGTAAATCAATAATATATATATATAGAAGTATAATGCAGCAGCTATTTGGGCGGGACAATTACCATTTTTCGGTGTTTCATATGGGCACCATTTAACGTCAACATTATTCTAGTTAATTGTACTAATCCGCGCACGAAATGACTGGACGATAGTACTCTACTTTCCAGAAATGGATACTGACATAAATGTCTGTGAGTTAGTCTAAGATAGTAGCAGAGTAATGCAAGCTACTTCTTTATCCTAGTTTTCGTCACACATCATGTAGGTAAAGATTTCTATATTAAACAGAACACTTTTCTTAGACCTAAAATAACCCTATAGTGTTATATAATCACATAATTGTACACTCCAAAGCATGAAAACAAGCAACATGAATATGGCTTTTTGGTGTGGTGGTTATTTTTAATCGGCGAAAGTGAGAGTACATTAAAGAGCAGTAGGTCGAACATTTATTTAGTAAGAACTAAAACAATAAAGAAAAGAAAAAGCGAAGGTGAGTTGTCGGTCATCAATAACAGGGGTCAATATTATTAAAAACTGACAGTTTAAATATCCGAATATTTTCCCATGTTATCCAGGGAATGATGAAGGAATGGGGTGTGCTGTTAATAATAACAAAACATCTGATAATTGACATCCAGTTTTACACTCAAGTTCCGAGATGAAAAATACAGGTCAAAGGTTTCTAGAATGAGATCAAGTAATCAAGTGACAGAGACTACACTTTAAACCGATGAGTTAAAGATACATTATGTAAGATTTAGATAAAGGGCTGATCATTCTTGCTATAATAGCTCAAAAATAGATAATGTAAAAAATGAACATTTCATTTAAATAACTTTATTCTGAGCCAAGTTATCACTGTTTGTAATTTTGACAAGATGTGTGCATTGTGGTAACCAGGGCACTGGTATATTCGAGACTTAGCCTCGCTTTCCCATTTTTAAATTAAATTTTTAAATGGCGAACCGTTCTAATCTAGTTAAAATCTCGAGTGTTCGATGCCATCGAGAGTTGATTATGGTCTTGTATTGTTAATAAATGTCTATTTAACAGCTTATAGCTTATAGAACATTCCAGGCCTAAAGAAAGACCTGCAATAGGAAGATTTAGCTCTTGCATAATGTATATTTAACTCAATGTACCTATGCAGTTTATCAAAAGCAGCATGATTTAGATTTACAGGGGCATCATCAGTCCCATTCAGCAATGCCTTTGAATTTATAAAAATAGGGTCCAGAGTATCGATAGTTACTGATCTTTGGAAATTAAAAAGTTTACTATGACTGATAAGATACATTGCCAGGCAACGAAACATACGCCCACAGCAGGTAAGTAGTTGCACTTATTCAAATGATGCATATAAATTTCATACGATCGGAAGATAACGAAATGACATGGGGTTTAACGTCCTACTGTTTTGCTGCGAACTGGGCTAATGAAGACGGACATACGTCATACAGTGTGCTACATGTATGATGGAAATTTTGCCCGGACAGCGGCACTACGACCTACTCTTATATCGAATTCTAAATGTCAAGGGATCTTTTACGTGCACGCCAATATGTACACGGGACCTCGTCCCATCCGAACGACTAGACAGCTGTCCTTGTCAGGCCCTCAGTCCTGCATCACTGACACGGGGTAACCACGTCAGAAAATCTGGATGAACTTTCTCGGCCAATGCAGGGATCGAACACCCGACCTCCAAGCTAGCGAGCCAGCGTCTCACCCACTTAGCCATCGTGACCCCCATCGGAAATGAAATGAAATGAAATGGGGTTTAACGTCCTACTGTTCTGCTCCTATACTGGGCTAATGAAGACGGGCAAACGCCATACAGTGTGCTATGAGGGAAATTTTGCCCGGGCAGCGGCACTATCGCCTACTCTTATATCGAATTCCAACTGCCAAGGGATCTTTCACGTGCATTCCAATGTTTACACGGGACCTCGGTTTTTCGTCTCATCCGAAGGACTAGACAGCTGTCCTTGTCAGACCCTCCGTCCTGCATGAACCCCCATCGGAAGAAAACCTTTGTCGTTAAAATGTTCACAAGATCCAACAAAATTAAACAAGGGCCACAACTCTAGAAGTAATAAATAACTGAAATTGCGGAAATTCAATAAGATTCTTTGTTTCACTAATTTAAATTATGCATATCAATTTCATATCGGTACTTTCTCGGCCAACCGAAGGATCGAACAAGGGACCCCCAGGTGAGCGAGTGAACGTGCTAGTCGCTCAACCACCGTGGCCTACACTTTATTTTCAAATTTGAGTCCTGAAATGCTGCCTTCAACAGAATCATGTATATTTACTGTATTGTCTGTTTACAACTACAACCACTAGGAAATCCACATTTGATATTATTATCCCACATGACTTGTATTTCTGTTATATTTAAATTAGGCACAACAAACGGTTGACTACATTTCAGAAACAAATCACAAACAAATCTCGAGTGTTGTTCATATTTGACACCCAACGCGGATAGCCAGATTCCCATAGCCGTATCTTCACCCTGGTAACCGGCAAACAGATCCAGATGATTTCCTGCCAGCCAGCGATGAACATCCGATGAAACAACATTTCCGGATCCACAAGCAAACTTGGGATAAATCTGTGACGTGTAGTATCGCTCCCGCCATTTGTTGGATCGCTGCACCAGCCAATCATTCCGGAAATGACCTAACCAGAGTTTATGAGATAGATTTACGTGTAAATTGTTTAAAATCGATCGTATATCTACAAAACAATCATCATCCGTTTTCAAAACAAAGTGAACTTCATATTTATCATAGAACCAGCGATGACATGCTAATAGTTTCTTTGGTAAATTTCTATAAACGTCCATCGTGTCCACCAACAATATATCACCGTTCTCTTTCATCTCTTTTGATAACTCGGCCTCCACACCAACTTCTATACTCTGCCATTCTAGGTCCAAATTATCGCGCTTATCTCTCTTGTTTCGCAACTCTTCAATTTCATCTACATTAAACATAAACGATATAAGACTATTAATGTTTGAATTATTTATGTACGTTCTATCTGCTGTCAACCCCTCAACAACTACAGCGCCAGTGTCATGCATAATAGTTGTTTCAGAATCACCAAAAACGAAGCCAGTTGGAAGTCCTTCGACATATATCTCATATTCTAAATCTTTTGGTAGATACCGTTCAGTAATGGGCTGATAGTTGTAACCATTGTGTAGGATGCCCGGATCCATGTAAGAAAATTGAACAGACACAACCTCCTCGAGTTCACCCTGGTCAAAGGTAGCTAGACCTACGCGGATGGAATTTAGTAACTCTGGTTTGAAAGCACTGGTTAAGGTGTTAGCAATTCCTAATCTTTTTATCCTTACTGGGTGTTGGACTTTTATCCATAACCGATCAACGGTAGAATAATCACTTTTTGTGGAGTGTTTGTTCGATATTTGGAATAATGCTATGTTATCAGGGTTATCTGGCACGGAATAATACCACTGTTTGCAATCAAACGGATCTAATCGGTTTTCGGGATGAATACAGCAGCCTGATCGTCCGACAACAAAAACTGATTTTATTCGAATCGTTCGGTTGTTGTAATACTTATCATTAAACCAAGTTTCACGTAGAGTTTGTCTCTGTTTAAAATTCTCTCGAGCAGATAAAACACATACAGCTAATTTTAAGTCGACTCTCTCCTTTTCAACTTGAATTAGATTCCAAATAATATTTAGTTTGAATTCCACTGCTATTAAACCCACACTAATCATTAATAAAAGTTTCATGTACATCATTCGAATCTGGAATGGTTCTTCGGTGAGGAAAATTACATATGGTATAAAAGTTTCATGTACATCATTTGGATCTGGAATGGTATAAAAGATATGTCTGTGGGAAATAACAGATGGGTTTTGTCCAAATTCCACTGATATTTTCCGAAAATTTATTCAGACTAGCACAGTATTTAGGTCATCAAAACGAGTGAAAACATCTGATTTTCATAATTATTGTTGACATGCCACCGATGTATTAGAATTTCCTGAAATATATATATTTATTAGCAAGGCTTTAATATGTACATATAAACACTACTGCAGCTAAGTTGTATATCCTCAGGTGAATATAAAAGCGGTCTTTATACTGTATGATACATGGTTGTCGGCAAACAACTATGAATTAAAAATGCAAGTATCAGAAATTAGTGTAATTGTTATTCACCGTAAAAATCGAAACAAAGAATATGGGTTTAATGTAAATCAGATTATGACGTTGGTCGAAATTCCACGGGATGCTACAGGGTGTTAAAGGGTATAACTCTTGAAGGTATAAACATAAATTACTAAAATTCGGTAAGATTGTTCCTGGACAAATCTGGGGCATTACAGCATTAAAGATGCATTATGTAAGATTTAGATAAAGGACTGATAGTTTAAATATAATAGTTTAAAATAGATAATGAAAAGGGAAATATGTTGAAAGTTTCAAATTACTATTCACCCTGAGCGGAATATTTGTCCTTTGCAGAATAGTGCAGTCTCGATTGTCATTGATACCGTTGTTACGATAATAAACCATGTCTCGATTATCCATTTTTAAATTAAATCATTAACTGCAAATCGTATTAAACTCTGTTGAGAAACAAAACCCTCCGAAGTTCTAGAGAATTGATTATTGGCCTGGTATAGGTAATTAATGATTTGTCTAATTAATAATTTATATAAAATTTTGAGGCCAAACGAACGATCTGTATTAGGCAGTTTTAGCTCTTGAATAATGCATCCACAAAAAGTAAGCAAATTTTATCACTGTGGATGATTAATGTTGAATTTCAAGAGGATTATTTGCACTAAAAATGACTAATGTAAATATCCCGCACCCCTCCCCTTGCATGGCATTGTTTGTTGCCTTTTTGGTCTGTAATCCTAAGCTTAGAAGAGTGATTGAATTTCCACTTTCTTCCAGGTTTTAGTAAATATTCATGATTTTAAGGTGGAAGAATCTGGAAGTAAACAAATGAATTACAGAAATCCCCAACTAAAATGATGTCAGTTACTATAGATTCCTTTCACTGACGGGGGGGGGATTGGGGGTTGGGGAATGGTCGAATGATGGTTAGCACGTGTGCGCTGTATCATAAGGTCTGTTATGGATTCGATTCCCCGGTTGTACTGACAAGCAGTAGGGTCGCCTGTCCAACCTCGTGGGTTTTCTCTGGGTCCTCATTTCTCTCTCTCTCCTTTCACCTTGTCCAGCAAAATGCTAGAAAATGAAATGAAGTAATGTGCTATGAGGGAAATTTTGCCTGGACTGCGGGCGCTCCAGCCTACTTTTATATCGCAGTCTAACTGCTAAGGGATCTTTTAAGTGCCACCTGAACGACTAGACAGCCGTCCTTGTCAGGCCCCAAAGAATATAAATAATCAACCCCCATCAGATGATTGTAACATATTGTGCTCTTTGCGTTTATAAAAATCAAGATCATCTGTTTCAAAAAATGTTATAGGCCAAGAATTGTGATGGATTTAACATTGAAGTCAATGATGAGAGGATTACTAGTCTGACTCCACTTCTGATTTCAGACAAACATTTAATCGAGTTACCTCTCCTTACAGTAGGAAATATGACATTGAATTAATCATGCATCGCCTGATAATAACCAGAACATTTTTGAAATGACCTCATGATTTAAGGGGAAACAAGGTGAGGTCAATGAATGGAAAAAAGTTGTATAGGCCTGTCTGTCCTACTGTTCTGGACCGACCTGTGCTTACTTGAACATAATTCTAACCTGTTCCAAGTTGTTAGTTAAAGAAAATAAGAAATGAACATACACATTTCCATAATTAAACATATTTTTATTACAAAAAACATTATATATGGGTGGAATTCAAAATTGGTAGGAATTTCTGTCCGGTCCCCTCAGAAAAAAAGAACTTGAGCTTAAAATTATTTTCTTTACTTATAAGAAATATGTAGATGCCTCTCTATCAATGGATATAGTTATTTAACAGTTTTGTCATTTTGAAATATATATTTAGCCTCATTTCATGGGCAAAATTAGCAGATTTTGCCCGTCCTACGGTGGCGGTCAGGATGTTCATATTCACAAATAATGTAAAAAAAATTACAATTAAACAAATAAATTTATATTAGGCCTATAAGGAATGAACAAGCATTTTCAAACTGCATTTAATTTGTTTCTTGATTAAAAAATTTTTTTTCTACACTTCATAATATGCTTGTCCTATGGTTTTGTGTCCTGACCGTTACCAGTGTATGGAATTCATGCAATGATTACTCCTTGGACCTGGACAATAATTCTACTTCCTGTGTCTGCTTGAGCTACTTCCTGTCCATGTGATAGCAGATGACAGAGAGCTATTCTACACATTTTGAAGAAATTACACGCCATCAAGTAAGTAAAATTGTTGTGTGTCACCCTTAAATGTCCATACCGTTACCTACGTATTGTTGGCCAAATAAATATCTTTTATTTTTCTTATTTTCGTAGAAATGTTGCAAAGAAATGTAAGAGATTGAAGGCATGTCCTTCAACATGTTTCAGGGACCATTCATTTTTTTATTTCAATTTTATGTAAGAATTGTCCTGACCGTTACTGTCCTGACCGTTACCATGATGTAAAGTAACGGTCAGGACAAAATTTGGTAACGGTCATGACAAAATGGTAGTATTTTGTGAAATTAATAAAGTTATTAATTAGTGTTTCTAATAAGATGTCAAATTTACAATTATTTCAAGAGTTGGAATGTTTTTTTATCATCAAATTATACTGTTCAAAGGAACTTGGATGTATTATTTAAAAAACACAATTTTTAGTAACGGTCAGGACAAAATTTGGTAACGGTCAGGACAAAATGGTAGTATTTTGTGAAATTAATTAAGTTATTAATTAGTGTTTCTAAGAAGATGTCAAATTTACAATTATTTCAAGAGTTGGAATGTTTTTTTATCATCAAATTATACTGTTCAAAGGAACTTGGATGTATTATTTAAAAAACACAATTTTTAGTAACGGTCAGGACAAAATTTGGTAACGGTCAGGACAAAATGGTAGTATTTTGTGAAATTAATTAAGTTATTAATTAGTGTTTCTAATAAGATGTCAAATTTACAATTATTTCAAGAGTTGGAATGTTTTTTTTATCATCAAATTATACTGTTCAAAGGAACTTGGATGTATTATTTAAAAAACACAATTTTTAGTAACGGTCAGGACAAAATTTGGTAACGGTCAGGACAAAATGGTAGTATTTTGTGAAATTAATTAAGTTATTAATTAGTGTTTCTAATAAGATGTCAAATTTACAATTATTTCAAGAGTTGGAATGTTTTTTTATCATCAAATTATACTGTTCAAAGGAACTTGGATGTATTATTTAAAAAACACAATTTTTAGTAACGGTCAGGACAAAATTTGGTAACGGTCAGGACAAAATGGTAGTATTTTGTGAAATTAATTAAGTTATTAATTAGTGTTTCTAAGAAGATGTCAAATTTACAATTATTTCAAAAGTTGGAATGTTTTTTTATCATCAAATTATACTGTTCAAAGGAACTTGGATGTATTATTTAAAAAACACAATTTTTAGTAACGGTCAGGACAAAATTTGGTAACGGTCAGGACAAAATGGTAGTATTTTGTGAAATTAATTAAGTTATTAATTAGTGTTTCTAAGAAGATGTCAAATTTACAATTATTTCAAAAGTTGAAATGTTTTTTTGTCATCAAATTTTACAGTTCAAAGGAACTTGGATGTATTATTTAAAAAACACAATTTTTAGTAACAGTCAGGACAAATTTTGATTAAATTTCAATTTAGACAGAAAGTTTCAATGAAGGGATTGTGAATTTCTATTTACTGCTTTAAGGGATAAGAACAAACAAAATTTTCTCACGTTAATGTTTTATTATCAGTATTTTTTATTGTATAGTTGCCAAAGTTTGCATTATCATTGTACAATGAATACCTGATTTTTTTGCTTTTGTTACAGAATGGCTCTAAGTGCTGCAGAGAAAATGCGACGTTACAGAATGAACCGGGACCGTGATCCACAAAAGAGAACTCAATATCTCGAAAAAGAAAAGTTAAGAAATTCAAGCAGAAGAGCGAACATCATTGACATGTCCAGGAGAGACAAGAAATCCCAAAGGTCTAAGTGGAGGGAAATAAAACGGAAGCAACGACAGAAGTTGAAAGATGTTGAACAGTTGATGACCCCACCCATGTCTCCTAATGAAGATCAACCAATACCCGGACCATCAAGGCAGAGACAACAAGCCAGGAGAAGACGGAGAGAAGAAAGAAAAGCTTCTCAAAGAAAAGTAGAAGATCTTCAGAAAAAACTCACTGTTGAGAAAAAGCGAATAGAAATGTTGAGAAAAAGAATTCAGAGAAATAAAAATAAAACCATGACAGGTGAAGGAACTCCCAGAACTAGGACGAATAGGACCATGAAATACTCTTCACTTAAGACCGTCAGAAAAACTTTGCTCTTTCATAATGTCCTAATGGATCAACTCCGTAATAGCTACAAGCAGTCTTCAAAGAAATATAAGAGATCTTTTTCACAGACATTAGCAGGAAAAGTACTGCAAAAATACAGAATGAGAACTCATGCCGCAAAATCCTTGAGAATTAAGACAAGAACAAATCTCAAAACCAGAACATGTCTCATAAGAAGAACCAAACAGAAAATACAAAATTTCTTTGAACGAGATGACAACAGTCGCATCACATCAGGAAAAAAAGAAACAGTAACTTTCAGGAAAGTTAGAAAACAGAAGAGACTTCTCACAGATAATGTAAGAAACCTATTCAGAAAATTTCAGTCAGAGAATCCAAATTGCCATATGAGCTTGACCTCCTTTAGAAGAATGAAACCTTTTTGGATCCGGAAAGCAACAGAGTATGAAAGAGACACCTGCTTGTGCAAGATCCACGACAATTTTCGTCTTGTAACTGAGAAATTGCACAGTCTTCATGTGCTGAATGACTCCAATCCAGACAACGTTGTCAAGAAAACAGCATGTGACATCAACAATAAAACCTGCATGTATGGAGAATGTCAAAAATGCTGTGATTATGAATTGAATATCTCTGACAAAGATCAGAACCAGACAGTATCTTGGCTACATTGGACGCATATGAGGGTAAAACGAGAAATAAAAAATTGTGGGGTGAAAGATGTCTTCATAACCACAAAGAAAGAAGAATCTGGATATTTAAGTGACCTCGTTCAAAGTTTCCAAGACCAGATTCCCAAATTCAAGAGACACTTCTACAACATGAAAAATCAATTTCTGCACCATAGAAACATTCTTAGGGATTTAAATGATAAAGAGTGCATTCTGCATGTTGACTTTGCCGAAAACTATCAAGGGAAGTTAGACAGTGAAATCCAAGCTATGCACTTTGGTGCTTCGAAAACACAGATTACCTTACATACTGGAATCCTCTATACAAAGGACTGCCACAAGACCTTTTGTACAGTGTCAGATTCTTTGGAGCATGGTCCAGCAGCAATATGGGCCCATCTCCTTCCTCTTCTCAAAGACGTGAGAAAAGAGGCTCCCAGTATTGATACCATTCATTTCTACAGTGACGGACCAACATCACAATACCGTCAAAAAGGAAATTTTTACCATTTTTCCTCTCTGCCTTTTACCTTGGGTTTCAAACATCTGGATTGGAACTATTTTGAATCCGGGCATGGTAAGGGGGCTCCCGATGGGATTGGTGGAGCACTGAAGAGAAGAGCAGATGACATTGTTAGATGTGGAACCTCAATTGCAGATGTTGCAACATTTGTATCAAAACTAGAAGAAGCCAAAACCAGTGTGAAATTGTTTCTCATCAATGAAAATGACATACAAGCTATTGAAAAGCTGAAGAAATTCTCAAGTCTTGATCCAGTTCCAGGAACCATGAGGATTCACCAGGTCATATCAGAGTCACCCCACACAATGTATTACAGAGATGTAAGCTGTTCGTGCACTCACATCTCCCCTTGCAAGAATCATGAATGCAATAGGTTCATGTTTCCTGAGAAAAGATCAAGGGTAAAGTTGGAAACATCTGAAACATCCGGCAAGAAATCAAAACTTGAAGAGGAAATTGAAGAAAATGGCATGTCATCAAGGAGACAGTATTTTGAAAACATTCTTGAGGAATTATGTGATTGCTGTACCTATCAAGATCTTCAGAACAAATGCAAATCTGTAGCTGAAATGATGGAATACACAGTTCAATGTGAACAACAGACTATTGTGAGCACAGGCCTAAAGGTGGACAGACAAGCCAAGCAAATATACCCAAATGATGCACCAGTTCAGTTTTGTCCTGTAAAAGTTAGCGCTGATGGAAACTGTCTGCCACACACTGCCAGTGTGTTTGCTTTTGGTGATGAATTGTCACATGAAGAAATGAGGGCAAGAATTGTTATCGAGCTGGTTAACAATGAAGATCTGTACTTGTCACAGAATCATTTGATAAAAGGCCTTTCACCAACAGTGAAGGTTCCTCAAAGTCTTGCTGCAAATTACTGCCTATATTCAGAACATTACATTGCTGGGGTCCACATGACAACAGCAGTCATTCACACTGTGTTCAGAGATGAGATAATGTCCATCAGAAAGTCCAGAACATACATGGGAATATGGCAGTTACATGCCCTTTCAAGTATCTTAGGTGTTAAGATCTTTTCAGTCTATCCACAGTTGGGAAACAAAGGTGTAAGAGAACACCTTCATCGGTTGATCCTTCCACAAACCAAATGTTCTAGAACAGACATAATTCAAATAATGTGGACAAGCACACGAACACAGGAGCTGACACGTGAACACTGGTTACCAAACCACTTTGTTCCTGCCTTGCCGTACACCACACCTCCTGAGCCTGCCACCACTTCCACCACACCTCCTGAGCCTGCCACCACCCTAACCACACCTCATGTCTCAGAGCCTGCCAACACTTCCACCCCACCTCCTGAGCCTGCCACCGCCTCAACCACACTTCCTGAGCTTGCCACCGCCTCAACAACACCTCCTGAGCCTGCCATCGCCTCAACTACACCGCCTGAGCCTGCCACCGCCTCAACCACACCTCCTGAGCCTGCCACCGCCTCAACCACGCCTCCTGAGCCTGCCACCACCCTAACCACACCTCATGAGCCTGCCAACACTTCCACCACACCTCCTGAGCCTGCCATCACACCCGAGCCTGCCACCGCCTCAACCACACCTGCTGAGCTTGCCACCGCCTCAACCACACCGCCTGAGCCTGCCACCGCCTCAACCACGCCTCCTGAGCCTGCCACCGCCTCAACCACACCTCCTGAGCCTGCCACCGCCTCAACCACGCCTCCTGAGCCTGCCACCGCCTCAACCACACCTCCTGAGCCTGCCACCGCCTCAACCACGCCTCTTGAGCCTGCCACCGCCTCAACCACGCCTCCTGAGCCCGCCACCTATGAGGCACTGAAGAGAGACTTGCCTATGCCAGAGACATTGTTGGACAAGTATGTCATTGTTTCCTATGACGGCAATGCATATCCTGGAAGGGTTTTAGAATATGATGAACAAAATGAGGTTTATGTTGAATGTATGCACCACATTACACATGAAAGCAACTGCTTTTTCTGGCCCAGATTCAAAGATAGATGCTGGTATGATTATGACATCAGTGTCCTTGCGTGTATCCCAGAACCATTACCGATCAAGGGTAAGGAGAACTCCAGACACCGAGAGGTTGATCCCAAAATATGGAATATGGTTAAAAAACATATGCTTACAGCAAATGTACAAAATGAAACAGTGGACAACAATTGAGGAATATCATATTGTACCAAGAAGTGAACTTGAATGATTATGAGATTGTTTTTTCAAGTGATTCATTCCTCATAGATATTTGTACATTTGAAAAATGTGAGATGTGTTACTTTGACTTTTTCAATTTGTTTAATTTGATGAATTTGAAATCTACTGAATACTATTCAAAGCTTCAAGATTTCTGTAGTTGTAGTCTATTCGACTGGACTGGAGATGTTTGTAAAACCATTGTATTTCAAAAATATTTGTCCGAAAATGAAGGAAATGTATTACATAGAGACGGCTATAAAATTATTTATGCTGATTACTCTTGTCTTTTGATACTGATAATAGTGAGTTTTCAATCAAAACAAAAGTCGCTTTTCTCATACTTGAAAGCTATAGAATGTTATTTAAATACCAACAATTTATCTATAGTTTTGATATCTCAAATTCATAAGTGTGAACCGTAACTATAGTATTGGAGAAAAGATGTCATCAGTTGTTAAAGCTTTCCATTTCTACTTGTTTGTGCACTGTCTGCCAAAAATTAGGGTCAGTGGTTAATAATAGTGTTTGATCCCTTTCATGTTACAAATTTATTTGTTAAATTAGGTTGTTTATGGTTCATGTCAACCCGTTACCATTCCTGTCCTGACCGTTACCTGCATTGTCCTGACCGTTACCGATGTTAATTGACTGCTGTAATTAAGTAATTATGATGCAAGAAATGCTCATCTTTATGTAGGTGTCATTAAGAGATGTTCTTGAAACAGTAGCAAATGCTTCTTATTGACATCTTCCCCTGTTTAAAGCTATACACATGATAATGTTTTAGAAAAATGCTTCTTTTTTTTTGCTCAACAAATAAAAGATACAAAAGATCACTGTAAAAAATCATGATAATATTCTTAGCCTCAAGTGTGATTAAGTTAGTTTAAAAACAGTATATACCAACATTCAAATATAAATCAGAATTATATTTAAATTTTGTTATCCTGTTTAAGAATTGGTAACGGTCAGGACATTTTTTCTCTTATTAATTACTTTTGAATCAATTATAAAAATAATTCCGGCATTTAAGCCTGCATGTTTGTATTTTTGAATAATTAAGTGTTTGAGATGTTATTGGAATAAAAAATAAAATCATTTTTGACAAGTCTGTTTTTTCTGTTATGATGAATTGAAAATCCTACCAATTTTGAATTCCACCCATATATATAATAACAATTAACAACAAAAAATATTCATCTGCTATGGTATATAAATCACTGTTGATGTACAGTTCATCAGTAAGTGAGGTGCTGTGGCTCAGTGAGTAAGACATTTGCTCGATAACCTGGAGGTCCCGTGTTCCATCCCTGCACATTGGCCGAGAAAGTTCATCAGGATTCTACAATTTGCCATGTCAGTGGTGCAGGACAGATGGTTCGAAAAACTGAGGTCCCGTTTACACATTGACATGCACGTAAAAGAAACCTTGGCAGTTGGAATCTGATATAAGACTTAGTCGCAGTTCAGCTGTCCTGGCAAAATTTCCCTCATAGCACACTGTATGGCCTATGCCTTTATTCATTAGTCATGTCCGAACAGAACGGTTAAGACATTAAACTGTGTGTAAACATTAAACTTGATCAAGATGACTGTGTGTAAACAAGTTATAAAGATGCTGATCATAATTTACATTTTTGGACAATATCTATTTTTCACAACTCTATCCATAATTAAATGTACCTAAATTAATTTTTTTAAACATACATTATGCAAGAGCTAAATCTGCATATTGCAGGTCTTTTTTAAAGGCTGAAATGTTATGTAAACTATAAATTAGACTTTTATTAACATGACAAAACCATAATCAACTCTCGATGTCATTGGATATCTCCAAGTAGATTAGAACGGTTCAGACACATTTTGATTTAATCTAAAAATGGTGAAGCGATATCTTCGCTCGCAATCGAGATGTAAGAATGGCAAGCTCTTTATCTAAATCTTACATAATGTATCTTTAACATTTAATTTAAAAAAAAATCAAAATATCAAAGGTTGATAATCTCCTTGCATGGATTAAATCAGATTAAACATAGGCCTATTAAAAGATTTTAGTATAAGTTATCGATGCACTGGCTCATTTTGACCATATCCTACATAGGAACATGTACATCAGATCTGAAATGAAATGAAATGAAATGGGGTTTAACGTCCTACTGTTTTGCTCTGAACTGGGCTAATGAAGACGGGCATACGCCATACAGTGTGCTATGAGGGAAATTTTGCCCGGACAGCGGCACTACGGCCTACTCTTATATCGAATTCCAACTGTCAAGGGATCTTTTACGTGCACGCCATTGAGTACACGGGACCTCGGTTTTTCGTCCCATCCGAACGACTAGACAGCTGTCCTTGTCAGCCCCTCCGTCCTGCATCACTGACAAGGGAGAACCACGCCGGAAAATCGGGATGAACTTTCTCGGCCAATGCAGGGATCGAACACCCGACCTCCAGGCTAGCGAGCCAGCGCCCTACCCACTTAGCCACCGTGATCCCCCATCAGATCTGAATTGGATGCAGAATGTTGACAAATTTTCAATTACATGTAGCATATCTTTGTAACCGGGGTATATATTATTCCATTTGAGCCAATAAATATTGAGGAAAAAAAGTATAGGGTGAGGAAGAAAGGGTACATGTACATAAAGAAAAGAAAAAATCACTTTATTAACTCTTTGAAAAAAAAAAAAATTCTTCTATTTCAAAGAGCTTCAGAGTAAGATTTACCCTCATTAAGTTGAAAAAGTTCAATAAACGCAGCAAAATCTTTGTCATTTTGATTCGTGACCTCAGTTACATGCACCCTAGATACGCCAAAATGATGCTAAAAGTGTGGGTCACTGGGGAAGCGTTGTGAGGAAGAACAGAAAGTATATATTGAGGAAAAGAAGGTACATTGTGGAATAATATACACCCCTGCTTTGTAAGTACTGAACAGATTGATATTCCTATTATATATCCAAATTCACAATATTGTATTTTACAAGGGATTTAAACTCACTCAAATGACAATCAGAGACATTAAGGATACATGTATATGAATTTAAGATGTAAAATATTTTCCTTGCAGATGAACAAAATATTTTCCTTGCAGATGAACAAAATATATTCCTTACAGATGAACAAAATATATTCCTTGCAGATGCACATGAACAAAATATAAAAACATTGTTGCTAAAGAATTCCACACATATTCTTCGACAGACATTACTGTGATGCATTTCTGTTCACATTACTTCTGAACGACATTTTGATTCTTAACCTCTATGCACAATTTTGCACAACCTAAATACCATCTTCTGACTCCTCACAAATGATATTACATAACCTAGCTTCTATCCATATCCAAGTCACGGTACAAGAACTTTCCAGTTGCAAATATTTCAATGTCTTTATCTATTCTGGATATCCTTTGTATAAGACCTGCAGCCATATATACATTATATATCACCAAGACAATAAACTTTTTATAGTAACATCATTGATCAGACATTTCTACATCTTCTGGTTGTGATTCTTTAAACTCAGATACACTGTTCTAAAAAGGCAAAAAAAAAAGAAAAAAAAAGATGATGAATTAACATATTGTGTAATATCAATTGCTCAAAACAAGATTTTAATTTTTAGAGGAAATTTGGTTAAATATGCATTATGTAAAATTTAGATAAAGAGCTAACAGTTCTTGCTATCATAGTTCAAAACTAGATAATGTAATAAAAGGGAATATATTAAATGAAAATTCCAGTCACATTACTTCATTCTGAGCTGTTTGGAGAATTGTCATTGCTACCGTTTTTACAATAGTAAACAAAGTCTTGATTATCCATTTTTTAATTAAATCATTAACCACAAATGGTGTTTCAATCCATTGAAAATCTAGAGCATCCAATGTCATCAAAAGTTGATTAGGATCTTGGCAAGTTAATAAATGTCTAATTAATAATTTATATTACATTTAAGGCAAAAAGGAGAATTAGCTCTTGCAAAATGCATCTTTAATAGTAAATATTATACATGTACATCAATGAAATAATGAAATGAAATTGGGTTTAACGTGTGCTATGAGGGAAATTTTGCCCGGGCAGTGGCGCTACGGCCTACTCTTATATCGAATTCCAACTGCCAAGGGATCTTTTACGTGCACGTAAATGTGTACACGAGACCTCGGTTTTTCGTCCCGTCCAAATGACTAGACAGCTGTCCTTGTCAGGCCCTCCATCCTGCATCACTGATAAGGGGAAACCACGCTGGAAAATCTGAATGAACTTTCTCGGCCAGTGCAGGGATCGAACACCCGACCTCCAGGCTAGCGAGCCAGCGTCTTACCAACTTAGCCACGTGATCCCCAAATGAAATAATACAGCTTATGATTATCTACTTTTGATTAAACTCAAGTTAACAAGGTGCTATTGCTTTCTTAATATACTATTCAAAAAAAGTAGGGGATATTTGATTTTGGGGGCATAATACTAAAATATGCAAATGACTACGAAAAAAGTCACTATAGAACCTAACAGAAGAAACATTTCCAGTTACATGTGACGCCCAAACGCACCAATAGCTACCGCATGGAATGCAGGTGATGCTTGGGATCATCATGGGGGTCCAACCCAAGATTTGCATGACTCTGACTTTGAATGTTACAGTCATTGTGGCATTGAATTCCAGGGTGGAAACATCAGTTTAATTGTTTTAGTGACCAGAAAACAAATTTTGATATGCGTCGGCTTACCCAAAATGAAAGGTTACGTGCCCTTGGCATGCTACAGATCGGCACAACACAGGCGGTTGTGGCGCGGACGATGAATGTTTCTCAGTCTGTCATAAGCAGGCTATGGTCCAGATACCGTGATACACAATCTGTACAGGACAGACCACGCTCAGGTCGACCAAGGGCGACAACTCAAGCCCAGGATCGATTTATCCGTACCTTGGCCTTGAGAAATCGTGTCATCACAGCAAATCAGATCAGCGCTCGTCTTCAAACAGACACTGGTGTGAGAGTGAGTGGCCAGACGATTCGGAATCGACTGCATAGGGGTCACCTTCGCGCCCGACGTCCTCGCGTGATCCCTTGTTTGAGAGATCATCACATTCAGGCAAGACGTCGTTGGTGTAGGGATCGTCAACACTGGGATAATCGACGCTGGAGCAATGTGATGTTTTCAGATGAGTCAAGGTTCACTGTTGATTTTTTGGACAGACGTAGGAGGGTGTGGCGTCGTCGAAACGAGCGCTTCCAAGACGTTAACGTCATCAGACATGACCGATTAGGGGGTGGTTCTGTTATGGTGTGGGGAGGCATCACTGTTGCTGGAAGAACGGCTTTACATGTTGTTGCAGGGCGTGTTACAGGCCAGTACTACCGGGACAACATCTTAGCAGTCCATGTTGTGCCGTTCGCACGACGTCATGGCCGCCGTTTCATCTTCCAGGATGACAACGCAAGATATCACAGGGCCAGGATCGTTACAGGTTACCTCCAACAACAGAACATCACCACATTACCTTGGCCAGCACTGAGTTCCGACCTCTCCCCCATCGAGCATGTCTGGGACATGCTTGGACAGAGGTTACGTCAACGTCAACAACGTCCTGCCAATGTCCAAGAACTTGCTGCTGCGTTGCAACAGGAATGGGACAATCTGGACCAAAATGACCTTAGACGTCTCATTAGGAGTATGCCACGTCGGATCAATGCTTGTTTGGCAAACAGAGGAGGATTTACCCGTTACTGACTTGGTTGTGATGCTGTGGTAACTTTGTTGTTTGACCCCGGGTATCATTTTACCCTTATAATGGTCAGTCTGTGCCTTACTTAGTCTAACGATCATTTGGAATAAATCGATGAATGTGAACTTCATTTCATTTTGTCATTTGTTTGTTCGTCAGTTTCATTAGGTGACTTTAATAACACTTAAAAATCAAATATCCCCTACTTTTTTTGAATAGTATATCAAAATAAGACATTTACGTATTTCAGATATCTCATTTGATTTTGAAACATTCAATTTAGAAAAGAAAATCCAAATATCGACAGCTGATTATGACACAGCTTGGATTAAAAACAGACCCAACAAAATGAAATGAAATTTAACGT